TGCTCCTCACACTCAGGGGGCGGTCACGACTACCGAGTCCCTAGAGTCTAGCTGCCACGTTCAAAACCAGGACGGCGACAGTGATGGTGCTATCACGGGCATGATCAGGGGAAAGTGGAGCGGGGGGGGGCGAGCGTCAGCCAGCCAGGTGATAGTAGAGCAGGCGCTTTGTGGGTGGCGGTGGGCGGCGGCGCTGGGTGGCCGGCCGAATCGTTAGCTGAGCTCCTCCCTCAAGCTCGATCACGCATGACGCACGTAACCTGACAACGTCGGCGAGCTTCTGGATCAGGTTAGGTTGCTGGAGCACCTCCAACTCCTCCTCTGAGTCAGACACGCCAACGTCGACGACTGCGCCCTCCTCCTCCTCCTCCGATTCGCCGACTGCACCCTTCTCCTCCATGGGCTCGATCCGATTCCGCAGCGTGTCGTCCTCAGCGGCGGTGCTGCGCGGGAGGCGGCCGCGGGCACGCTGGGCTCGATCAGCGGCTTTCCCTCAGTCGCTCCGAAAGCACGGATTTGGCGGACGTCGCGGCTTCAATTTTACGATGTCTTGGCACCAGCTGAAGGCTTGCACGGCCCAGATCACGCAGTTCGTGCACGGTATTCGGATTTTGCTATTTGTTCGTGTGGGGGTATATTGCAGATTTGTCAATGGTACCGCGTCTGCGACGCGGGCGCCTTGCGGGCAGAGCCCTTAGCCACCCTTTATATCTTGCGCGGTCAAAATCGCGCGAAAAAAGAAAAATACCGAAAAAATCGGTGCCTGCGGCGGGCCGTGGGACCCCATCTCCCCCCCGCATGGGTACCCTCTAGGGCCCCCGCGCCCCCCCAGAGGGTAATGTAGGGTGCGGCGCGATCAACCTTGCGGTGGTCGCGCTGTCCTGACGCGGACATCGTACACACACACACCTATTCGTCCCTGCCAAAGGTGCTCGGATTTGAGGCACCGCGCGAAGAAAATAAACCCCGCTGCGTTTGATCATAAAAGGGCCGAAGTTTCTATACCCCTGTCATCCTTGCTCTCAGCGCGTGTCGCTAAGGAGAGCCCTCACCGCAGCGGCCTCTGCTTCAGCGCCACAACTGCCACCACACGCCGGCAGCAGCCAAACAAACGACGCTCATACCATCACCACACCACCAGTCATGACATTCGCCACGACGACGCTCACCTGAGCACGCACGCCACTTTCCCGCTGCCGCTCCACTCACGTGCGACCCCAACCAACGCAGGTCACAATATGCCCACCTCGCACTTGAACGCGCTGCTCGTCTCTACTACGGCAATGGCCTCCTACCTCCTGGGCCGAGCCGTTGCCACCAAGCAGCAGCACATCGGGAAGTTTGGTGGCACGGTTTGGCCATCGAGCCGACTGTTGCCGAAGAACCCGTTCGTCTTTTGAACCTCTCGTCTACAAATAGCGCTCAGTGTGTGGATCAGCGAGAGCAATCTCTCAAATTCCTTGAGTCCGAGTCAGTAGTGACTGCACGGGGTCCGCACACATGTGACATGAGACATGACACTGACACTGTGCACCGTGCTCTGTAGAGGGCCGTAGTCTGTACAGGTCAGCCGAGAGCCGTCCCCTCTCGAGCTCTCGCCAGATTGACAGAGCGTAGTGCCAGCCTCCTGTTCTTATATGTACGTACTCTCTCTTATGTATTGGAAAATATGGAGCGTGGAGTGGGCCTGCGGCGACGGCGTGTGCGGGCGGGGTGTGCGCGCCGCCGGCGCCTCCGCCCCCACCCCACCGCGGTCCTTCGTCACCCTATCACATGACACATGCACAACCACGAATAGAAGGCCAGAAGCGGCTGGCACACGTAGCAACGCGTCCGGTGCGTCTCTGATGAGACTCTCTGGACTCTCTGCAGGCGCTAGAGGAGCCAGCCGCAGCAGCAGTCACGCCCGATGTCAGTCAGGACCGCGCGAGCAGTGGCCAGCGCAAAGTCGCCCCTCACAGAAGACTGCGGCCGCCAGCGACTGAGCCAGTCTCGCTGGCGGACGGGGGGAACACAACGAAGCCTCCTGAGCGGGTGGCAAGAAGCCATCCGCCCGCTCGACACCAGTGAGGTCCCCCCCGGCTTCTCTCCCGCCAGTTGGTTCTGCATGTCGCCGTGGCCCAGCTGGCCTTCGACTCCAAAGCCCCAGCTCCAGACACTTCCGTCGGCGGTGAGGGTGAGGCTGTGTTCGCCTCCCGCCGACACAGCGATGACGCGCTGGCCTGCCAAGGCCTCGACCTTCTTGGGCAGCAGCTGGTGCTCCTGGTCGCCGTGGCCCAGCCGGCCTTGGGCTCCCATGCCCCAGCTCCAGACGCTACCGTCCGCGGTGAGGGCGAAGCTGTGTTCGCGTCCTGCCGATACGACGAGGACGCGCTGGTCAGCTAAGGCCTCGAGCTTCGTGGGCTGCCACTGGGTTTGCCGGTCGCCGAGGCCCAGCTGGCCACCGGCTCCCCAGCCCCAGCTCCAGACGGCGCCGTCGGCGGTGAGGGCGAGGCTGTGGCGGGCTCCAGCCGAGACAGCGACGACGCGCCGTTCAGCGAAGGCCTCCACCTCCGTCGGCTGCCACTGGTCCTGCAGGTCGCCGTGGCCCAGCTCGCCATCCCCTCCATGGCCCCAGCTCCAGACGCTACCGCCGCCGGTGAGGGCGAGGCTGTGGCATCCTCCCGCCGACACGCTCACGACGCGCTCACCGCCCAGCGTCGACGGGAGGCGGGTCGGCGTGTTGAGCCGCGTCACCCCCTCACCGTGCCCGAGTAGTCCTGGATAGAAAGGCGGCGCGTAGCCGCACGACGAGAGCCGCCCCTCGCCGTCGATGAAGACGCTGTAGGAGGAGCCTGCCGCCGCCCTCGCCGGCGGGTTGGACTCGCACAGCAGCGCCAAATAGCACAGCCACCGCACGGCGCAGCCCTCGCCCTCTGGCAGCGCCGGAAGCTCGTAGCCGCGCTCTTGCGCCCACAAGCGGATGCCCTGCTCCGCGAGCGAGGCGTGGAAGAGCAGCGAGACAGCCGCGACGCGAGCGATGTCGGCGGGGTCGCAGCGAGAGAGGGCGCGCAGGAGGAGCTCCGTGGGGAGGTCGAGGAGGCGGGCGGGCGGCGGCGTGTCTGGCGAGGGGGCGGCGGTGGAGGCCGAGGCGGCGTGGCGCATATGTGTACGTTCATGCGCGAGCGACATCGCGAGGAAAAGAATTACCCATGGGCCGCGGAAAAGAAATTGGAGGTATGCAGGCGCAAATAAGTCGTGACGGCTGAAAAAAGAAAAATAAATAACGGACAACCCCAGTGAGGGATGACAGCTGACGCTAGCCGTGCGCATTCATCGGCTCTTTTTTTGGGGGCGCGCCGCCAGGCGCGTCCCCACTTTTGTATCACAGCTGCGAGGGCCAACCAAGGGATTCGGCGCGTCAAGTTAACTTGACCGCTCGTTCGGGCTTTGGGCCGCAGGCCGGCGCGCAGCGCCACGCCGCCAGGCGTCCGCCGGAGGCCCGCCGGAGGCTCTTCCTGCGGCCACATTCTGGCAAGATTCCGCCGCGCTCAGGCGCCCAGAGGATGCGTGCGCTGCGCTCAAACGTCGCGATTTGGCAATAGGCGCTCGAGCCGGCGCACAGCGGACGGGTGCGCCGCGCAGGGGGGGTCGGAGGGGTGCGAGAGGGGGCGTGGGTCGGGCGCGCACCGGCCGGCTCCGGGAGCGGCCGTCACGTCGAGGAGGGGGGCTGTCGGCGGCTCGAGCGGCGAGGCGTGCCACTCTGCTTCGCCGCCGACAGCCCCTCTTCCGAGCCGGCGCGTGGCGACGAGCCGCGGCCAGTGTCGCTGGTTCCTTTGGCGGCGCAGCGTTTATCCCCCCCACCCGCGCCCGCCCGCCCGCCCGCCCGCCCGCCCTCAGGCCTTGCCCCTTCGCAGGCGCGGGAGCGCTCGCCGGCGAGCACCTCCTACCTCTCCTCGCCCGGCTGCTCCCTTGCCCCGTCGCCCGCCGCGCCCTCGCCCGGCCGCCTCACCGCGCACGGAGCGCTCGGATGCTCGCCGCCGCCGCCGCGCGTCCCCGCGCCGCCACGCTTGCCCCCACCTTGCCTCACGCGCGCTCTGTGGAGGGGCAGAGCGCGTGTCTCTGGCACAGACGGAGCAGCGACCGCGCCAGCGGTCGCTGCTCCGCCCCTCCGTCGCGCGCGCGTCGCTGCTCCGCCCCTCCGCCCTCGCCCCGCCCACCCAGTCCGCAGTCGCCCCGCGTCTCAACCAACACCCTTCCCGCGGCCACGCAGGGCCGTGTGGTGTAAAGGGGAAGGACCCTGAGTTGAACAGGGGTTGTGCGCCAAGCCCTCCTGCTCGGCTCCAGCGAGTAGACAAGTGTTGTCATCAACAGAGTAGAAGGATCTGACCTCGGGGCCGATGTGACCAAGCGCTGGTAGCGTGGTTTTACCTCACACCCATGGTCTCACAGTGTGCCGGCAGTCGCCGCGCAGTGTCGCTCACACAAGCCGCAGCACAAGTGACTGAGGGCCAGTGAGGGCGAGCCCATCGCTGTCACAGCTGTGGCAGCCGCACAGTGGGCTGTGTCATCTGTGCAGAGTGTGTGAGCAGCAGAGGAGCTTCACTCCAGGCTTCAGGCGCAAAGAGCTGCATGCCACCGAAGGCGCTGTCGAGGTTCGCCGAGCGCGGCGCAGGTTGGAGGAAGCCGTCACCGACGAGCGCGTTGGACTTTTCACTCCGGACAAAGACGGGGACACAGCGGACGGTGCGGGGTGTGTCCCCGTCATAGCGGCGAGGCGCGGGACCGTCTGTGGCGAAGTGGGTCGCGTCCTCCGATTTCCGTCAACTCACGGTCCTTCCCCCGTATGTGTGACACTCTGTGAGTGAGAGGGGGACGGCGTGCGCGTGGCAAATAAATGAATAAAAACGGAGACCTCGTGAGGCGTGGCGCCGCACACACACAAGAGTGGCTCGCAGCCCTCCCTCCCGTCCTCACCTCCGGTGCACCACTGCACACCTCTCAGCGCACACCTTCGGGACTCACTCCACAGCCATGCGCGAGGAGGAGGGACCTCCTGCCGCGCCTCCCTCCGGCTCTGCCGGCCGCGCGCGGCAGTTTGGGTTGCCATGCTGGCCGGGCACGCGGCCTGCCGCCGCGGCTGCGGCGTGCCGCTGCTCCTTGCGCCGCTCGACATCGGCCTTTGCCTTGGCTTTCTTCCGGAGGGCCGCCTCGTCTGCGCCTTCCTCGCCTGCGCCCTCCTCCCCGTCCTCGCCCTCCTCCTCCTGCTGCTGCTCCTCCGCCCACGGCGGCGGCGCGGAGTGCGCGGGCGCCGCGGGCGGCGCCGCGTGCCACGGCCAGTCCGGCGGGTACGCGTCCTCGTCCTTGAGCATGACGGTGAAGACCTCGCCGGGCTGCTTGCCCGGCGGAATGGTGACCTCGATCCGGTCCCCGCTGGGCGGCCGGACAAAGATGGTGTGCGCCGAGGAGGCGGTCTTCTCCGGCATCGCAAAGGTGTGAAACGACCACTCCGGCTTCTTGATGACGAGCTGGACGTGCTCCATCTGCAGCGAGAGGCGGCCGATGGACCGCTCGATGCGCCCGAGGTCGGCGGCGAGGCCGCCACCGCGGAGATCGCGAACTTTCGTCTCGAGCTCGTTGATCTTGAGCTGCTTCCAGTCGAGCTTTTGCTGCAGGTTCCGATTCTCAAGCTGCAGAGCCTGCAGGTCGCTGGAGGCTGCCATGCTGGTCGCTTAACCACCAGTATCACGGCCAAAAAAGGTTTCAGTGGCAAAAAGAATTCTCAAACTCCCGGCGTGACTCGGCGAAAGCAGCAGGCGAGGCAGTCATTGTGTCTGGGCAAGATTTGCTTCATGTCACAGTCGAGCGGGCCGCACGCCTGCGGCGGAGGTGGCGGCGGAGGCTCGCCGCGACAACGCACTGCGCTCTCGGACGTCGGCAACACTCCTCCGCGCCCGCTCGGCGTTGGAGGCCGGCCCGGTGGCTCTCGCGTCTTGGAGCGCTGCCGTCAGCAATTCGCCGACGGTGGTGGCGCGGATGCGGTGGTGCCGCTGCCGCCGGGCGGAGTCGCTACCGTTTTCCCTCCGCCACCGCCGACCGGGCCGGCCGCTTCCGCTGCGGGGTTGCCGCCGCCGCCGCCGCCGCCGCCGCCGCAGCCGCAGCCGCACGTCGACCCGCCTCCACTGCCGGCGGCGGCGGCCGCCGGCGCGACGACGAGGGACTTCTTTGGACTGGCCGCGAGGCAGGTCGCACGAGACGCGTACGAGCACGCGCAGGCGACCGGGGTGGTGACGAGCTCGGTCGCTTCCGACCGGCTCGATGAGGCCTCTCTCCGCTCGTGGGCCGCCGCGCTCTACCTGATGGAGGGCGGAGAGGAGACGCCGCCTCGCGCCGAGCGTCAGGGTCGCGCACGCTCGCCCCGTTTCGCTGCACGCCGGCGGTGCTTGCTCACCCCCCCCCCCCCCTTTCCCTCGGTTGCGTAGTCGCCGTCTCGCGCTACAAGGTGACGCACACCGACGCCACTCTGCTCTCGTACGTCGGCAACCTCCGCGTGCTGCGGCAACGACTCGGAGCGCAGTGGGCAGGCTGCCAGCTGTCGCTCCGCGACCGCGAGCTGCGCACTGTCTTCGGGTCGTCGACGCCGGCCGGCGGCGACGGCATCCGCCGGGCTGCCGTCCCCGACGGAGCCGCTGACGGCGACGGGCACACACATATGTGCCGCTCACGTCTAGCACACCACGCCCTGCATGATGCGCTCTTCTCCCCGGGCGGAGAGGCCACCATAGCCACCGCCACTAGCCCTCGCTCTCAGCCGCCACCATCGCATCCGACCATTTCCTCCGTCCCCTTCCCTCCACCCCTCGTCAGCGGCGGCTTTGAAGTGTGCGACGAGGCCATCGACCGCGTGCTCGGCGACGCCTCCGCCCACTCCAACCCGCGCGTGCGCGAGGCGGGCGTCGCCTTTGAGGCCGGCGAGCAGCTGCACCGCGTCCGGTGCGCGTTGAGCGGTGCGGCGGCGGTGCGGCGAGTGCACCCGTCCCCCTCACTCTTGCGCCGCCCAGTGCCGCAGGCGCTGCCACGTCTGCGACACGTGCCGTCCGATGTTAATGTGCACTCCGGCCGTGGAGCCGCCGCTCCGGCCGGAAGGCACGCCGCCCGTTTCGCTCAGCGTGTGGCGCGCGTCGCCTGATGAGCTGGCTTGGCGCCACCTCCGTCGCCTGCTCTACGTGTGCACCGACTGCCGGAAGCACCGGCGCCGCGAGTCGCGCGGCCGCTGCCAGCTCTTCTCGGGTGTGCGCACCGTCCTGCCGGACGACCTCGGGCCGCCCGCAGACGCTATGCGGCACAACGACATGCACCTCCGCGTCGCCCCGTCATGGCTCAAGTGCCTGTCGCAGGTCGAGAGCATGCTGATCGCGCGGATCATCCCCGTGATGCGCATCAGGAGGATGTCGGGCGGCATGCTTTCGTCCGCCGGCAGCTGCACGACGTTACCAAACGACATGTTCAAGGTGGCGCGCGAGCTGCCTCGGCACGCGAGCGAGCTGGGCCTCATCATCCTGCGCAAGGCGGGCGCGCGCCACGACGGTGGGCGCGCTTTCGCGGCGGATAGGCGATCGGTGCAGGGCGCGCTGACCGGCCTCGTGCGCGGCGACCCGCCGGGCGGCTCGCCGCACCGGCCGACCGTCGACAGCTACTTCGTAGACGTGTATGATGTGCGAGCTCTCTACTCCGCATCCGCCGACTGGGAGCGGTACTCCGGCCCCGACCTCCCCTCCGGCGAGCGGCTCAGCGGCCGCTGGTTCCTTCACATCCCCAACCGGTACTACTCCGACGTCGTGATGTCGCAGCAAAGGCAGCAGGCCGTGCCAGAGGAGCGCGCCGAGCTGCCTGGGCTGCCCGTGCACGAGAAGCCGGCGCGCGCCGCCGGCGCGGCCGAGGAGGAGGAGGAGGAGGGCGGTCCCGCCCCGGCGCAGAATGAGCTCCCGCCCGAGGTCGACGGGGACGGCTCGGTGAGCCACTCGGGGCTGGTCTCCCCGATCGACTCCAAGGACGCCGATGCCGAGGTGCCGCCGCGGAGCCTCGCGTGCCCTAGCCCACTCCTTGCTTGCGCCGACGCCACTCGCTTCCGGCCCGCAGGTGCGCCGCCTCGTCCTCGACTTGCTCGACGGTGACAGCGCCAAGGCAGACGCCCTCTTTGCCGGCGCCGGCGTCGGCAGCGCTGACTGGGTTCGCAGCTCGGGGGCGCCGGTGCGCGAGCTCGCGACGGAGGGCTTCTTCGGGATGTGCTACCCGACGGTGTTTGTCGCGGGCTCCGGCGACCCGACGGTGCCGCGGCTGCGGAAGGTCGACTTCTCCGTCGCCGTCTCGCATCTCGTCTTTGCGGCGGATGGGCGGCTTGGCGCCGTGCTCAAGATCCACCTCACTAATCTTCTGATGCGGCTCAAGGCGTCGCAGCAGGCCGGCTACTGCGTCTCCCAGCAGCTGGCGGAGGCACACCGTACGGTGCCCGAGCTTGTGCAGGCCCTCGAGGCGGGGGACGAGTCTGTCCCCCGCAAGATCCTCTCGATCGGCGCGAACCTCAAAAATTCGCCAATGTACTGGCGCGGAGAACACACCAAGCTCCGCGCGCTGCAGCAGTTCCGTCGGGCGGCGCACGGCGACGTGCCGACTTACTTTCAGACCAACTCGATGGCGGAGTTCCACTGGCCGCAGATGCGCGCCCTCCTCGAGGAGTACGTCTGGGCCACACGCGGCGCGGAGGGGGCGGCCGAGCTGCTGTCGCCCGACAGGGCACGCAACCTGCTGCTCGAGTGTTCGCACGTCGTCGTCGCGTACTTCGACGCGCGCACGGTCAACTTCTGGAGCACTGTGCTCCGCGAGGTCCTCGAGTACGACGACGCGTGGTGGCGCCTCGAGTTTGCAAAGGGCCGCGGCGCTGCGCACGCGCACGGGCTTGCGATGTCCTTCTCGCACCACGCGCAGCGTGAGAAGCTCCTCGCCTCGACCGGCTGCAGCGTCAACGAGCTCTTCGACAAGACCCCGGAGAGCCAGGCCGCGGCCTCGCGCGCCGCGGAAGCGCTCTGGGGGTGGATGTCGGGCCCCGGAGCCGCGGACGGGGCGGGGGGCGCGCCGCATCCGGATGCCCCGGATGCCCCGGCTCCGGGTGCCCCCGCAGCGCGGCGGCGCGCTCGCTCGGCCCCGACGGGGCGGGGCGGCCGGGGCGGCCAGAAGCGCGGGCGGGGCGGCGCCTCGGCCGCCGGCGCCTCGGCCGCCGGTGCCTCGGCCGGCGTCCGTCGCTCGGCCAGGCTGCTTCAGGCCGGCCCGCCTTCGGGCTCGCTCGCGGGGGCGTCTTCGCTCGCGGGCGCGCTGCCTCCGTCCCTGCCTCCGTCGCCTCCGGGCTCGCCGTCGTCTCCGCCGCCGCCGATCATGGGACTCGCGCGGAGCGATCCTCTGATCGCGCGTCTGATGCGAGCAGCGCCGCCGCCACGCCCCTCCGCCGCCGCCGCCGCTGCCGCCTCCCCTCCGTCGCCAGCCGCGCCCGCCGCTGCTGCAGGCCCTGGAGTGTGCGCCGCCGCGCCGACGGGTGCGCCGCCGCAGGCGGCCGACCCCCCGGCCCTGGTGCAGCCGTTTATCGACTTCAACCGCGGCCGCTTCGCGGCGCTCCAATCGCACATGGAGGCGCGCCCCGCTGCCGTTGTGACCTTCCCCGGGTCGGTTGAGCGCACGGCGCTCGGTAGCAATCACGCCAGGAGGCAGTGGGGGGCGCACGGCGCCGGCGCGCTCGAGCTGCTCGTCGCGTTCATCGGGGAGCGGGCTCGTGCTCTTCGCAGTCTCTTCGGCCCGCGGCGGGTGCGCTTCACGGCTTGGCTCGACGCCAGCGAGGCCTCAGCCGACAACGTTTTCGTGTGGGGCGCCAACCGGAGCAACGCCTCGCTCGACGATGGCCAGTTCATTCTCGGGGGGGGGATGGCACAGAAACTCGGGCAGCAGCGCCCCGGACTCCTCGGCATAGTGACCACGCCCGTAAGCGGCATCCCCAGCCTGCCGGACGCCGGGCTGGCGACGTGGGGCTGGCTGGGATCGGCTACAGTGCCACGCGCTGCTGCGACACTTTCCCACCGCCTCGCTCCTGCCGCTGCTGGCTCCGCAGCGGTCGCCCCGCCACGCCGCGCCGCCGGCCACCGCCTCGCTCCTGCCGCTGCTGGCTCCGCAGCGGTCGCCCCGCCACGCCGCGCCGCCGGCCACCGCCTCGCTCCTGCCGCTGCTGGCTCCGCAGCGGTCGCCCCGCCACGCCGCGCCGCCGGCGCCGGCTCGGGCGGTGGCGCCGGCGGTCGACACGGGAGGCCTCCGCCCGCGCCCCCGCTCGACGAGGGCGACGCCGCCCCGCTCGGCACTCCTTCGGCTCCCAATGCGGCACCGGCGGCGGCTGCCACCCCCTCGCCCCCCAGCCCCGGCTACGTTTCGCTGGCGCCCCCGCTGCTCCAGGCGGGCGACGACGACCCGGCGGCAGCCAAGCTGGCGCTCAAGACGACCGTGCTCGGCGAGGTGGCGCGCGGCGGGCTGCGCGGGCGCGAGCGCCGCTACTTCAAGCTCGTTCGCACCGTGGCGCATCATCGCTGCACGCCGACGTGCCTCGGCCCGCTGGTGCGGCTGCGCGGCGCGGGAAAGCGCAAGCGTGACGACGGCGACGGCGGCACGGGCGTCGCGGGGCAGCGCTACCGCAAGCGCTCCTGCCGCTTCCATTTCGGCGACTTTGACGAGGTTGCCAAGTGCGGCGCCGGCAAGCAGCTGCACGCGGAGCCGCGGCTCGAGGGCTCGGCCGAGCACCCGCGCGTGGCGGGGCCTCGCGCGAACCCTTTCCTCATCCAGCACATCCGGTGCGTGCTCGAAGATTGGGGCGGCAATTCGGACACGCAGCTCGTCCTCGAGGAGAAGTGCGAGGCGCTCGACCGCTATCTCAACGAGTACTGCTGCAAGGGCGCCGCTTCGACCGACGATCTGATCAAGGTCTACGCCGACCTCGCAAAGGCCGCCGACGCAAACTCGAGCGTGCGCGCGCTGGCGCGCTCGCTGCTCCGCCGCGCTGTCGGGATGGTCGACTGGCCGGTGCACTGCTGCGACGTCATCCTCCTCGGCATCCCCCTCGTCCGCTGCACGCGCCGCCACAACTTCTGCGGCCTCAGCGGGTGGCGCATGCTCGACAGAGACGCGACGGACGAGGAGGCGCCGCTCGCCAAGAAGACGCCGCTGCAGCGCTTTCTCTCCCCCGAGCGTCGCGCCGAGGCGCCGCACATCTCGCTCTTCGACTGGGTCTCGCGCTGCGGCGACAAGTGCGGCTGCGGCCACTCGCACTTTCCCGTCTTCACCGGCCACCTCTGCTTTCCGAGCTGGCCGCTTGAGGAGGAGTACTGCCGGGACCAGCTACGGATTCACGCGCCGGGGCACTGGCTCGTGGCTGACGACCTCAAGTCCGGCTGCAGCTCGTTCCGCGAGGCCTTTGGAGAGTTCTTTGGCGTCGCCGTCGACGCGCTGCCGCCTCCGCCCGGCCGCGGCACCGCCGGAGCTGCCACCGGCGCCGGCGCCGGCTCCAGCGCTGCTGCCACCGGAGGCGGCGACGCCGACCGCGGCACCGACGATGCGCCTCGTGCCAAGGTCGGCAACCAGCCGATGGATCTCGAGGCGCCGGCGGCGCCGGACCTCGCCGCGGCCACCCGCTTGCCGTCGCCACCGCCGGGCGGAGGCCGCTACATCGGCACGGTCCGGTGTCGCGCCCCCGACAGCGCCGCGGAGCGGCACGCGCGCCAGCGGGCGACGGACCGCGTGGTGGCGGCGCTGCGGGCCAGGAGAGACGGGTACCTCATCTTCCGCTACCCAGCGGCGGGCCAGCAGGCCGAGCTGGTCCCCCGCTGGCCGCGTGTAGTCCTCTGCGACGACGCAGATGAGGGCGTCGCGATCTACTACGACCTCGGCCTGATGCTCTTTGGCATCTCGCTGCTCCCACTCCATGGAGTGAATGGACAGCGCTTCAGCGCGGCGAAGGCCGAGACGCTGCTGGCCGCCGCTGTCGCGCTCGAGGCTCCGGGCGAGCCGGAGGAGGAGCGGCGCGAGACCCGACAGCTCGCGTCGGACACCCTGCGCGTCTTTGTGCGCAGATGGGGCTCGTCGGAGTGGCCCATGGAGGCGAGGCTGGTGCTCGGCCGCTTCGACGATCTCGTCATGCAGGACATCCGCGAGATCGAGATTGCGCCGGGACTCTACGGCTGCTTCTGCCGCAGCGGCGACTCCGACGAGGTGCTTCTGGGACGTTCAGGGCCGGCGCCGTCGTCGACGCCGCCGGCCTCGATGCCGGCGGCCTCCGGTGGCGCCGCTGGCGATCCCTCGGCGCCGCCAGCTCTGCGGTCTCGCGAGCCCGGCGAGGGCGGCGGCGAGGGCGGCGACGAGGCGCCGGTGGCCTCCGCCTCCACGGAGGGGTATGGCCGCCTGCCGCCGACGCAGCCCTACGCTGGCCTGCGCGCTCCCTCCAACGCGCCGCCAGGCGAGGCTGTACAGCAAGTGGCCGACCCGCGCGCCTCGGATGGCCGGTGCAGGCGGCCGGTGCAGGCGGTTCCGCTGGCGGCCGGCGCGGCGCCGCCCGAGGGCCTGCAGACGGGGCAGGCCTTCCTCCTGCCGGACGACGTTGTCCTCACGGGGCCCGTGTTCGAGTCGGAGGGGCTTCCGCCCGACCCCACCCGCGCCGGCCGCATCCGAATGGTGCGTGAGGAGGTGGAGGGGGCGCGGCGACGTGCAGAGCGCAAGGCGGCGGCCGAGGCGGCGAAGGCTGCCCGCGGGCGGGCGCGCCCGGGCGGCGGTCACGACGGCGCCTCGCCTGGCGACGGCCTCGCCGCCGGCGGTGCAGGGGCCGCTTGGAACGAGTCTGACTCGGACGGCGACGACAGGGGCGAGTGGAGGCAGGGGTTTGCGGAGGAGGTGGACGCGCAGGCGCGAGCGCTCGGTGAGGCTGGGCTCGAGGCGGCAGCCGACGACGGCGACCTCGGCACCATCGATGCGGAGGACTGCAGGCTTCCCGAGTGGGCTACCTCGTGGCACGACTACGGCATCCAGTGCCTCAACGCGGACGGCGGACCGGTGCTCGACTGGGAGGCGGTGGCGGGGATCGGGCAGGCTCTTGATTCGCTTGCCGGGCGCGAGAAAGCGGGCGAGTTCATCCGCCAGGGCGAGGGCGCGACGCTGCCTCGTCTGCCCTCCTTCTTCCGCGCCAACGCGCTGCAGCGTCTCGCCCTCAGCATCAACTTTGAGGCGCTTCTTGACGCCTGGGAGCGAGAGCGTGCGGCCGAGGCGAAGGGCGGCCTTGCGGAGAACGAGGACGAGTATCCGATTCAGAGCCGGCTCAAGATCTTTGGGACGGCCGGCGTCGGCAAGTCCTTCGTCGTGAAGGTCCGCTTCTCGGCCGCGCCTCGGCCGCGCCTCGGCCGCGCCTCGGCCGCACCTCGGCCGACCTGGGACGGCGCACCTCTCTGGTAGGGAGTAACCCTCTTTGCGCGCCGGCTCTTCAACGACAACCTGGCGGTGATCAACGCCGCCCCCACAGGGTCGGCGGCGGTGCTTAACCCGGGGGGGCGGACGTGGCACTCGATCACGCCGGCCGGCGAGGTGCCGCGCAAGCACCGCGCCACCTTCACAGTCCACGACGCGCCCCTCGGGGCGCAGCCGATGGACCGGCTGCGGCGGCTGACCGGCGAGCGCGGCAGGCGCGCGGCTCGCGTCTTCAACTTGGACGAGGACGGTATGATCTCGTCCGAGGACATCGCGTGGATCGACGCGCGGCTGGGCCAGGCGTGCCTCTCGTCTCTGCCGCCGTCCGCCCGCCAGCTGACTTCGTTTGGCGGCGTCCCCGCCGCCAACTTGTGCGGCGACCACGGGCAGCTGCCCGCCTCCGAGGGTGGCGGCGCGCACCTCGAGCCGGGCTCGTCGCGCGGCCCGATCGCGCAGCGCGGCTGGCAGCTGCGCCGCCAGGGCTTTGACGTGATCGTGCTCGACGAGACCATGCGCCAGGGGCCGGACCAGGCGGCGCTGCTCGCGCGCCTCCTCGCCATCCGCCGCGGCGAGGCGACGCGCGAGCGCTGGCGTCACACAGAGCACGGCGCGTGCCCTCAGGACCGACCGGCCCTCTTCGAATACCATAGGCGACGCAGGAGCACTGGCAGCAGTGCATGTCGCGCCTCTGGCACCGGCTGCCGGCAGCCGAGCGGCAGGCCGCCGCGGGCAAGCGCGTCCTCGACGTCTACGAGACGTGGGCGCCAACCAACGAGATGAACGCGCAGCGGCTGCAGGAGCATCGCAAGGCGACGGAACACCCCGTGTGTGTGGTGCCCTCCGAGACGCAGGGCCAGCCCCCCAAAGGCCCCGATAAGGAGGTTGGCCAGATCCCTCGCACCTTCCTGGGCGCGGTGGGCTCGCCCACCGTGTTGACCAAGAACCAGTGCGTCTTCTTCAAGCTCAACAACGGCGCGCGGGGGACGATCGTCGCCTTCCTCTTCAAGCCCGGCGAGCAGCCTCCGCAGCACTTTCCGGTCGCCGCCGTCGTCAGCTTTCCGGCCTACGACGGCCCCGCTTTCTTTCGCGGCGCTGGCCGCGAGAAGTGGGTCCCCGTTCCAGTCAACCGCAGCTTCAGCAAGGACGAGTCGGGCGCGACGGGCCAGCGCGCCGGGAACGCAGCCTTAGATAAAGAATACAGATCCGTGCATTCCGACTAGCACTCGAGAGCGCACACTGCATTTGGCCGCATCGGCAAAACTCGCAGCCCCGTGAATTCGATGCCCGACTTTGCTCGTCACCGTGAGTGCTCGCGCCCTGACTTTGGTGCAGTGACGATCTAGGCACGCGACGCGCACGGGCGTGCCTCTGCGCGCGGGGTACGCGACGGTCGCGCACAAGACCCAGGGGGGGAGCTTCGGCGACAGCAAGGACGTCGAGTTCATGATCGCGCACGTCGCCAACCACATCTCGATGGAGAAGCTGTTCCTCGGCCTCATTTACACGCTCTTCTCGCGCGTCGAGAAGGACTCGGACTGGGCGCTGGGCGAGGCGATCGACGCCGACCGGATCACGTGCGGGGCTCTGTGTTCCTGGCTCGCGACGCGTGTCGCTTGAGCTCCCCCCCCCCCCCCCTTCCGTCGCAGGTACGTCAACAGCGCGCCCGGCATGGCGAGCCGGCGGTGGGAGGACGCGCGGCTGAAGATGGCGAGCGCGCACACCGAGCGCAAGTATGCACACCTCAAGAGCTTGGCGGCCTTTGTCCGCCAGCTCAAGGCGTGGGACGAGGCGTGCGCCGACGGCCGCTCGTCGTGCTGGTTCGAGACGGAGGGCGACCTCCCGCGGCTGGCCGGGGAGGCGCTGCTGGCCGAGGCGGCCGCGACGGGCGCGAGGCGGATCGCCTTTGACGCCGTCGCGGCGCGTCTCGAGGCGACCGCGGCGCCGCCGCCGCCTCTCGGCACCGCCTTGGCCGCGTGGCCCACGGGGTGGGGCATCGAGGAGGCGACGGGCAACTTCTGCGGGCTGGCGCACTGGGCTGTGGAGGTGTGGCACGCGGCCGGGTCGGTCGACGCGAGCCGGTGGCAGGTCGAGGCTGACGGAGGGCGCCTCTTCTTTGTGCGGGTCGCGGGAAAGGCCGCATAATCGCGCTCTCCGCCGAGGCCCGCCTCGGCGACGGCGCTCGCCGCGCAGCAGCAGCAGCAGCAGCAGCAGCAGCAGCAGCAGCAGCAGCAGCAGCAGCAGCAGCAGCAGCACGTGATTCTTGACACATGATTACACTACACAGTCCTCCCTTCGGTTGTCGTTTCGAAGCTGTTTTTTTCTTCTATCGCAGCGCACTCGCATCTGTGAGCCTAGCGCAGCGCGAACTCGCCGTCTGGGCCTAGCGCAGCGCGAACTCGCCGTCTGAGCCTAGCGCAGCGCGAACTCGCTCTGAGCCTAGCGCAGCGCCTCGGAAAACACCATTTTGGCTCGCCAACAAGCCCTCCGCGCCCCCACACCGTTAGGATAAGACTTTTCTCTCTCTTAGAAAAAAGAAAAATCCCGCTGGCGCCACCGCCTCGGTACCCCGCTGCCTTTTGGTTGGTCCATCACTCCCACCCATGGTGATGCGCTCTCTGCGCTCGCTTTCCGTCTTCGTGCCTTTTCTTGTGGCCTCCGTTTCGGCGTTCTCCTCAGTCCCTGAGGGTTCACCCTCTCCGTCGCCCTCCCCTTCTCCGTCTCCGTCTCCGTCGCCGCTGCCACCACCGGTCGTCGATCTCTTCTTCGGCACCGGCGGCTCCTCCAGCAACGTGCTGCTTCTCAACGACGGCAATGGCGGCTTTGCAGGAGAGGAAATGCCCGGCACTGCGCTCGAGACCACCTCGGTCGCGCGCGGCGACTTCAACGGCGACGGGACGCCAGACCTGCTCCTCGGCAACCGCTACACCGGCTGGGACAACGCACCCAACCAGCTCCTCCTCGGGAACGGGGACGGCGGCTTTGACGACCCGATTGATCTGAACGGCACCGATAAGCTGTCGACGTGCGGCGTCGCCGTCGGCGACGTGGACGGGGACGGCTTTGACGACCTCGTCTTTGCCAACGGCAACGGCTGCAGCAACGGCGCCAAACAAGAGTCGTCCATCATGTACGGCAAGGGAGGCACCGTCTTTGAGGCGCCGGTGGTGCTGCCGGGCGGCGAGTTGGATGGCACCTCGGCCGTTATTGGCGACGTGACCGGCGACGGCATGAACGACATCGTCCTCGGATTCCAGCTGTATGGGGGCGCGAAGCTGCTCAAGAACAACGGCGACGGCACCTTCGACGTGGTCACGCTCACAGAGAAGTACGTCAACGCCATTGGCCTCCACGACATGAACGGCGACGGACACCTCGATCTCGTGCTCGCGTGCTACCTGCAGAACAACATCCTCTTCCTCAACCCGGGCGATGGCAATTTCACCACCTCTGTCGAGCTCCCGAAAGTTGGGTCGTCTTCTGGCTCGTGCGCCCCCCCCCCCCCCACCCCAGCAAACCAACCGACAACCTTCCCGTACTGATGTGCTCACCCATAACCCACCTACCTTCCTGTCTGTGATACCAGGTCCGACCTCGCGATCGGCGACATGGACGGCGACGGCGCCCCGGATGTCGTCTTTTGCGGCACGTACGACAACTGGGTGCTCTGGAACAAGCCAGACGCCCACGACGGCGACGACTTCTTTGACTACTACCAAGTGGTCGGGCCTCGTACCGACGGCGCGGTCGCCTTGGGCGACGTCTACGGAAGCGGCTACCTTGACATCGTCCTCGGTGGCAGCAACTATGGTGGCGAGTCCAACGTGGTCGAAAACAGGGGCAACCGCGGCTTTGGACGCGTCTTCAAGCTCGACCAAGCTGAGCTCAAGAACAAGTACGTGAAGGACATCATGCTGCTTTAAGTTACTTTTCCCCGTGGCCGTGCACGCGGCTGCGGCTGCTCTTTACTTTAGTGACGAGTTGGCCCTGAGGGCTACGGCTTTACTGTCCGAGACCGATAGGACGCGGCCGGCGTGGTGAACTCGCGTAGACATGTACATGTACATGTCGCGGGGGCCGGCAGGGCACACTGCCAGCTGTGTCGCATGTGGCGCCGCGCGAGCTGGACCAGGCGGAGGCAGCGCGCTTCGCGTGCTAGACTGTGATGCAGCTCCACTCTCTGGGCGTGTGTGTGCACGGCCATACATGAGAGCGCGCGGCCGCGGGGAGGGAGGGGGCTGTCAGTTCGTTACTGGGTTGTTTTTCTATATCGTTTTGTCACACGCTGACGGGGTTGTCTGTTTTTTGTTATTCTCTCAGCTACGTCGCATGCTATTCGATATTTCGGGCGGCGAGCCGAGCTCGGTTTCCACTTAAGTTATTACAGGATACAGCGGGCGCCAGTGGCTCACTTTCCTCGCTTCGGCGTGGGTGACGCGTACATACACGTGGCTGCTTTTCTCTACGAGAGGTGCGCACCTGCCCCACCTCTCCGGCTCTCGACGGGCGCTCGCCGCTCGGCGAGGCGACGGCGAGGGCGGATGGGTGCGCACACGGTCATAGTGCCAACTGGCCAGCTGCCACGGAGTCGGAGAGATAAGGACGCAATGGGCACATACGTGTGTGTGTGGTGTGTGTTAACTGAGTGACTGCTCGGGCGAGCTCAGACTGAGCTGCGCCGCGACCTTCTCCACACCAACCCGCATGTACTCGTCGTCCTCGTGCAGCGCGACAACCTCATTGCTCAGCAGCCGCCCCCTGAACTCCTCCGGGATCCAGGACATCGCCTGCTGCACCGTGAACTTGCTGCTGTTGAAGCAGACAACGATCGGCTTCTTGTGGGAGAGCGCCGTGCGTAGCTCCAAAAGGCAGAAGGCTGACTCAAAGTATTTCGGCGAGATGACCGCGCAGAACAGCTTGCAGGCCCGCACGCCAGCCCGCATGCCCGCCTCGCTGCGCTCGCTCCCGCGCTTCTTGTCGAGCCAGAGGTCGATGCCTTTCATCTCCAGAGTGTAGAAGAGGTTGAACAGCAATCCGTCTGTGCCGTCATTCTGCTTGTAGCTGCCGAACACATCGCAGGCGCTGCCCTTGCGTTGGGACACTGCCGAGCCGGGTGGTGCCACCTGCCTGAGCCTTCTGCGCCTCCTCGCTATGTAGAAGCAAACTAGGATACCCGCTATAGCGATCAGCAGCCCAAGCACCGACATGACGATGATGATCGTTGTATTGAGCTGGCAGTGATTTGAGCATGGCGAGGCGGAGCAGACTTCTCCGGAGGGCAGGCCGCTGTTGTCAAACCAACACATTCCCGAGCAGTCTTCAGGGACGTTCGCCGCGGCGCAGCAGGTGTAGCCGGAGCCCTCCGTGCAGACCTGGCCCAAGACCGAGCAGTCCCAGCTTGGACAGCTGGGAATCTGCCCTGGTGCTAGCGGCGGCAGCAGCGGCGGCGGCGGCGGTGGCAGCGCAGGCGGTGGCGGCGGCGATAGCTGTGGCAACAATGGCGGTGGGACTGCGGGCGAGGCGGAGCAGACTTCTCCGGAGGGAAGGCCGCTGTTTTCAAACCAACATAGGCTTCCCGAGCAGTCACCGACGTGCTCAGGGAGGACCGCGGCGCAGCAGGTGTAGCCGGAGCCCTCCGTGCAGACCTGGCCCAGGACCGAGCAATCCCAGCTTGGACAGCTGGGAATCTGCGGCGTCGGCATCGGCTGCCGACGATGTTGGAGATTGGACTCACCTCACGGGTCGCTCGAGGGAGAAGGAGGCCCGCGCCGCGCGGATATCGGCGTGTAACGCTCCGGACGAGTAATTTCATGCGCCGCAAGAGCTTTGAGCGGGAAGAAAGAAAGAAAAGCGTCAAGTAGTAGTAGTAGGTAATGACGACGGACGACCAGGTCACTGAAAAAGAATTCCATCATCAACCCGAGAGGCAGCGCCTGTCGCCGCTGTTTCACGCGGAGGCCACACACCATGTATATGGCCGCCGCTGCCCGCGCCGCCGCCCTGCGCGTCACGCTCATCTCGGACACCATATGACCCTGGTGCTGGGTCGGCAAGCGCCACCTCGAGTCGGCCGCGTTGTCGGCCAAGGTCGCGCTGGACGTCGACTGGCAGCCTTTCTACCTGAACCAGAACACGCCGGCCGAAGGCGAGGACCTGATGGAGCACCTAACGGCCAAGTATGGGCCGGCGGCAGTCGCGCGCTTCGACGCGCCCGACAACCCGCTTGACTGCGCCGCCGGCAAGGTCGGCATCAGCTTCAACAAGCAGCGTCGCATCATCCGCACGGGCGACTCGCACCGGCTCGTCGAGTGGTGCAAGGCGACGCAGCCGCAGACGGTCGACCCACTAATGGAGACGCTCTTCAAAGCCTACTTCGAGGACGCCCGCGACCTCTCGCGGCGCGAAGAGCTCGTGGCGTGCGCGGCCGCGTGCGGCCTCGATGGCGAGGCTGCGGGCAAGGCGCTTCACTCGGACGCATTCCAGCGCGAGGTGGACGCCAAGGCGACGGGCTGGTCGCGGCAGGGCGTGCGCGGCGTCCCATTCTTCGTCGTGCACCCGGCGAGCGGCAACGGCGAGCCGGTGGCCTTCTCTGGCGCGCAGCCGAGCGAGGTCATCGCCGAGGTGCTGGCCGAGCAGGCGGCGGCGTGAGGAGATCGGCGGCGAGCCGTGAGGGCGGGCGCGTCCCCAGCATGCGCGCGTGTGGAGGCGACTCTATGACGGCCGCACCCGAAACCGCACAGCTGCGGATGCGGTGCTAGCCCGAGACCGTCCGACCTCTTTGCCTGCGCGGCGTACTTGCACTCGGAGTGCAGTTGGCAACCTCACATCAGGGCCGCTTTCGAATTTTTCTTTTTTCACTTGGGCGGTTCGGGCGAGTTGGTTTACCAGCCAAGACGGCTCGCTGCTCCGTCCCGCTCTCCCTGACATGCGCGGCGGCGGCGGGCTCGAGGTCGGCTTCTGTGACTCTGCGTCGGGCAGCGGCTTTCTCCCTGTGCAACCTGCCGACCAGCTCGAGCGGTGGGCGCCGCCGATCGACAACGGCTCACACCTGTTGATCCCGTGGTCGCCTCATGAGTCTGCGTGCGGACTCAACGTGAGCACGTATTTCGTTGACGTGCGCACCTCAACACCTCTGCTAAACGCATTCATCGGCGCGTTCGGCACCTTCCCGCAAGACCTTTGCGACCCGTCGGGCTCCAAGGCGAGGGAGGCCGCGAAAGCGAGCCACCGGTCGGCCTGCGCGCCGTACCCTCGCCGGTGCGCCTCCGCGCCGGAGCGGGCGCCATATCGGGTCGCCTCGTTCGAGGTGCCGGCGGCGCTGCGCCAGCTGGCGAGGCTGGACATCGAAGTGACGGTCCGTGCATACGGCTCTCTCTCTCCGCTCGGCCAGCCGGAGAGGCGCACGCGAGCCGTGTGGTGGTGTCACAAGTACCGCCGCAGCAGCGGAGGCGCCCCCTCGCCTGCTCCCGCCGGCAGTAGGCCTTCGGGCCGAGCGCTCGCCTCTCGCCTAAGCCGCGCCTGGCGAGGCTTGCGCGGCTTGCGAGGCTGGCGAGGCCCGCCGAAGGAGGACAGCCGGCACGGGCGCGCGTACGAGTCGCACCGCCGCTCGGCACGCCCGCCTCGAGCCGTGCCGCCCAAGAGGAGCCTCGCCCCTCCATGGCGTGTGACCCGGCGTGTGTCCCGCGAGCAGGCGCTCCTCCTCGAGCCGTCTCTAGTCGCCGCCTCCGCCGCCGCCTTCCTCGCCGTACTCGAGGCTCGCCGGCGCGTGGAGGAGGGGCGGCGGGCGGACGCAGCGGGCAGGCCGCGGCCGGCGCCTCCCCCCTTCCGCAGCCGGCCTCCGCCTGGCCGAACTAAGCTCCTTAGGCGAGGCGCGGAGGAGCGGGGCGCCCGCCCTCCGACCCCCTGGCTGGAGGCGGCGGCGGCGGCGGCGCTGCACATGGCGGGCGTGCTGCTCCCGTGTGCGTTTGTCCTGCTGGCGCGGGGCGCGACGCTGGCAGACCTGGTCGGCGAGTCGCCTATCTCCGCGGCGGCGAGCTTCTGGCTCACGGCAGAGCGGAGCGAGATCGCGCGGCCGATGCACCCGCCGCAAGGGCTCGCCGCTCGCGCGTCGCTTGGAGCCTCCGGAGCTTCGCTTGGGATCGACTGGTGCGCGCTCGGTGCCCAGGCGCTGCTGTGCGCCGCGCTCGCGCCAGCGCTGGCTGCGGCGGCGCGCTCCGCGCGAGAGCGGGGCTGGGACGGCCGCTTGGGCCCTCTCGTCGCTTGGCACGCCTTCGCGCTTTGGCGGTGGGGCGTCCTGTTTGCTTGGTGCTTGCCCGCTCTCACTCGCTCGCACGGCGGCACCGCCGCGGCAGTCGCCGTCCTCGCCATCGCCCTGGCCGCCGAGCGAGTCTCCATGCCGCGCAGCCGACGCGGAGAGGCTCCCGCGGCGTGGGCCCTGCGCTGCGCGCCGCTGGCTGCGCTCGTGGCAACGGCGGCGGCATGCGGCACTTTTCTCGCCGCGTGCCCGGCGGCGTGGGCTGTCGACCAGGCGACGGCAGCGCTCCGCTCCCAGCCACGGGACGCCTCCGTCGGCTGGAGAGACGTCGGAGTGCAGTTTGGAGCGGCGGCCGCGGCGGTCGTGGCCGTGCTGGCCGTCTGCGGGGAGGCTCTGCCTCTTGAGGCTATGCACGTGAGCCTCTAGAGGGTTGGGAATAGTACGACTACGAGTATAACGGACCAACGTACTCCACGGAAACTACGTTCCACTGTTGCGCGCTTGCGCCGGCCAGACCCGGGACGCGGGAGTTGTAGCCCCGGCCCGGCAACTGCTCTTTTGCTCGGGGCGGACTCGACTGTATGTCCTCCACAGCGCAATCCATCTCTCTAATGTCAGACCAAAGCCTCGACGTCCCTGCGGCTGAAGACGAGGTCAGCCTGGTCGCAGCCGGCGGGCAGCTCGTCGGAGCGCAGCCGGCGGGGCGGCGGAGGCGGCGGCGGCGGCGGCAGCGCTCTTCGGATCTCGTAGTCGTCGTGCGCCAGGATGTAGGGCCAGAAGCCGAGGGCTCGCATGTGGCGCAGCAGCTGGGGAACGCTGCTCCCCTGCAGCGCGAGCCACCGCGGCGTCACCTCGACCACCACCTCGAGCGTGGGCGGTGCGTCGCGTAGCAGCGCAGCCGCGCCGCGCAGCACCGCCCACTCCCCGCCCTCGACGTCCACCTTGAGCAGCCGCGCAGTGCGCACCTGCTCCTCGCTGAGCAGCGCGTCGAGCGGCGCGGCGCGCACCTTTCGGGGCGCGGCGAAGGGCGTGTCCGGGGAGGGCCTAGGACGTGCCTTACTACACGTCAGCAGAGCCGATCCCTTTGGGAAGCGCGTGAGGAGTCTGGGAGCTGTTTTGGAGGTGCTGTTCTGGAAGCGTCTGGAGCGGCGTGCCCGCGTCTCTCTCCACACGCCGCCGCCCGCCAGGCGCGACACCTCGCCCATGGCGCCGCTCGCGCCTGCTCCGCCGAGCGCGCCGAGCGCGCCGCTCCCCTGCAGCAGCGCCCACACATCGGTGCCCGCCGCCACGCCGCCTGCCCCCGCGCCGGCCACCGTCGTGTTGTACAGCGGCTCGCGCTTGTGCTGGTAGAGCGTGAGCTCGCCCTCGGCGTCCGCGGCGGCCGCCTGCACCGCCTCGACCGTGAGCCCGGGGTTGAGTGCCACGTTCGCCACCAGCCGCTCATGCGTGCGCGGGCAGGCCTCGACGGCGACGACGCTGCCACGACTACCGACCCTCGCGGCGCCCAGCAGCGCAAAGTAGCCCGTGTTGGCGCCCACGTCGATGAGCGTGTCGCCCGGCGAGAGCGCGCGCAGCAGGTAGCTCGTGAGGGCGGGCTGCCACACTCCCGTCAGCAGCAGCCACTCAGACAGAATGTCTGCCTTGTGCGAGCCGCCGAGCTGGAAGCAGCGGAGCCGGACGGCTTCGCACGCCCGGAGCGTTACGACCGCGTCGTCAAAGGGCGGGAGTGTAGGAAGGAGCGAGCGCGTGCAGAAGGCGAGCAGCGAGCGCTGGCCAAGTCGAATTGGCGTTAGGCGCAGGTAAGCAACGAGGGCGCCGAGCAGGCGGCGGGCCAGAGGCGGGTGGCGGCCGAGAATGGCGAGCGCGCTGTCGAACCAACGGCCGAGCAGCCGTGCGAGCATCGTCTGTGTGTGAACTTCGACAGCGCTTTCGAGGCTTGGAGTGGGCCCGAGTGCGGGGTTGGTCAGAGATTGGCAGGGGTGCGCCTCGCAAGCCTCGCGCGAAGCGCCCCCGAGTATTTCTTATTGTGCTGCACCTAAACACAAAGCTCACTCTTGCGAGTAGAGGCCCCGCCCACCCAGGGTACCCTCTCGAGGGACCCATTGGGCTCTTTCGAGGGCTCGCAGGGGCTCTGCTCCAAGAGACCTCGAAGAGCGTGCGTGTGCCTCTACTCGCCAGAAGCTCACTCACAATAAGCTGAAGAAGGAGGGGCAGGTGTGGGGGGATCCGGATGACAGCAACCATAGAAGCCGATACGTACAATCGTCGTCACACGACATTTAGGTCATATGTGCTCCTCGCTCTTCGACAAGAGTCGTGATTTCTTGTTGGTTTCCAATTCCTCTCTCTTCGACAGAGTCATAACAAAAACTTAAGCCGTACATACACTGTGACAGATTCACTGAAGATCGAAGTAAAGAAGTCAAGAGAGAGCACTCACGGCACACAAAGCTCTCGCGCTCCCTGTCACCCTGAGCTACAAACAGAGGCGCCATCGAGGAGCGACACACTGCGGGGAGAGTCCGCTGACATGGCCGCAGCACCGCTCGAAGAGCTGCCCACCTACTGCACGGCCGAATCCGCCCCCAGAGACCGCCGACACGCCCTCCCCTTTTGGCCTCAGCCCTCGTCGTGATCGTCGTGATCAGGAACCTCGTGGTCGGGCTCGTCGTGGTCGGGGTGCATGTCGTCGTACCTGTGGGAAGAGGCGAACGCGTGTGGGCCAATTCTCCCGCCCAGGCCCGGAAGGGAGCAGAGGCAGTCACCTGTGGTGATAGTCGTCGTGGTGGTAGTCGCCGTGTCGGTAGTCATCGTACCTATCGCGGTCGCGGTAGTGGCCGCCGTCGTCGTCCATCATGTGGTGGCGGTAGCGGTCGTCCGGCTCGTCATCGGGCGTCTCCGGCCGTGCATTCGGGTCTGCCGGCCAGCAGCCGTTCTGGCAGCCGAGCGCGACCGAGCAGTACTCCTCTCCGTGGCCGCACCAGCCGTGGGAGGAGCAGCAGGCGCCCTTGCCGCAGGTGATCTCCTTGACGTGCTCCATGCCAAAGTCGCGGCCGCACCGTCCGTCCGATCGCATGCCGAACCACGTGAAGACGGTCGAGTCGTCGTTGATCTGCTCGTAGTGATGGAAAAAGGCGGCAAAGCAGAAGAAGGTGCCCAGCACGGCTGCGACGAGGGTGCGCTGCCGCGTGCGTCCGCTCCGCTTCAGCATGCGCACGAACGGACTCGACTCCACGCCGCGCCGCGCGAACGAGTTCATGGCTGTGGTGACGTGTGGTTGACAGGCAGGGTTTCAGCTCCCTGGATGGGAGGCAGGTTTGCATTTTATTGCGGTTGCGCGTGATCCTCTCTGTAACCGCCTCAGCCTGGGGGTGCATATGGTGGCAGCTGCCCCCCGAAAATCTCCAAAATATCCCTACAACAAAGTATCAACCAACATCTCAGCCCAGGACAGAAGACAGCGCGGAACGGTCACACAGGCACAGGACGACGACACCAACCAGCTGGACGACACACTGCTCACAGGCTCTAAATTGTGAGTCACCGACCAGGTCGTTCGTCGCCGGTGTGGGTCCTGTCCTCTGGTTCTGGTTGAGATTTTGGGGGTCCGTCCATACGATACTGTTCGACCGTCCTACAGTCGCGCTCCCAATACGTGCATCACTTTTGTGACAGGTCTCAGACTTTGAGCGGCCATATCCGGTAACTATTGATGGTCCACCTGAAAACTCTTCGGATTTGGAACGGGGGCCCATAGTTACCGAGATATGGCCGCTCAAAGTCTGAGACCTGTCACAAAAGTGATGCACGTATTGGGAGCGCGACTGCCTACTCCAGTGTCCATACACCGACGCGGTGCGACGGACAGACCGGCATCCGAGCGGCCACGGCCGGGTTCCGCCACTCTCCTCCAGCCCCTGCCCAGTCGATCTCAAGCGCGCCAAGTCTCCCGACACCAGGCCGCCATGACGTTGGTTAGTGTGCAAATGCGTACCACCATATCTCAGGGAAAGACGTTGCAAGACTTTACTTTCAAAGTACTTTCATTACGGCCATGACGTTGGCTAGTGTGCAAAAATGCGTACCACCATATCAGGAAAGACGTGGCAAGACTTTACTTTCAAACAAGCACTTTCATATGAATTTACTTTGGACCTGCAAAACGGGCGGACGGAAAAGGCCTCAAACCGCCACACCTGCTGACTAATTTGTGTAACCGACTTCTAACCGCTATAGTAGTTAGTCACAGGCGTGTGTCGTGCGCCTCCAACCGGTATCGTTCGTCCGGCAGGTAATCCCAACTCACACGACATACAGATCCCGGACAAAACACAAAACAGATTTTCGTAACCGGGCCCGAAAAATCTGTACCGAGGGCGTAACGGGGGGTCGAAATCTGCATCGAGGCGTAACGCTGAGCCAAAAAAATGTGTCATGCACAAGGTGATAGAACTCGTTATGCAAGAGGTCGTCCCATCCATTAGGGCTTGTGGGTCACAGATGATGCAGTCATCTAGATCGAGCTCCCGAATGTGGACCCATCCAGCTGCATCGATCGAGCCCTGTTCGAGCCCCGCCCAGTTCCGTTTTGGCGCTCTCACCTCGGGCGCAAGAACGAATTTCCAGAACACGTGCCCAGCAATCAATCCATCAAGTGGCTGTCTGACCCGCCAAAGGTGCCAGCAGGAGAAGTCGGCCCCTGTCAAGTTACCGTCGGTCTCCTCTGTGAGGTACTCTTCGCCCTCAGGGAGGTCGGAATCAGTCCGCACAGATCTCAGATGGCCAGGGTGCGCCCAGATTGTGCGGTGCAGCGGTGCGCCATGATTCGGACAGCAAGGCCTTTGTCCTCGCACCACCTGGAACCATACACAGCTCTCCACGTCTTCATCTTGTCCAGGGTGCAGGGAGGATCTTAGCTCCTTCCCAGTCTGTCAAATGTAGGAAATGCATTGACTGGCCGTCGAGGACGCACACAGGCACACACCACCCCGCACCCGCCGCGGGCCGCGACTCGGTCACGGAGACGAGAGAAACTGTTTGCGGTTAGACCGTTGACACACGACACCGTGACAGTCTGACAGACGTGACGTCGGTGACCTTGCACTAGCTTGCATGCAAAGATGCGCATACGACCCGTCACAGCACGCAGATGAGGCGTGCGGCAGCTGGCAGGTGGTCGCAGCCTAGCCAGCATGTGCATGAGACGGTTGCAAGTGCCGCTCCGTAGGCACTTTGCATCGGCGCTGCGGCGGGCGCGAGCGAAAATCGCTGGCGCAACGCGTAACGGGGGCAAAATCTGTACCGGGCTTCGTTAGCTCCGAGTAGAGGGGGCGTTCTGCAGTTAAGGGGAAACCCGGTACACGGAACTAACCCTCGGAGACCCGTGTTTACTTTACGGCCCTTTCCCTGCGAACGCGCACCCCCGGGGCTAGGGCTCTCTAGCCGTAACCCGACACCGATCATCCGGCTCGCTGGGTGCGCTTCTTAGCTCCCCGCCCTGGATGTGAGGTTGATAACTGCACTCCAAGTGCTCCAAGGGCGTCACGTAACGGGGGCCGAAAATCTGTTTTGTCCGGGATCAGCTCTAGTCTCTAGTGTAACTTTCGAGAGCTCGACCATGAGCCGGTCATGCAGGCTAAGCAAGTGTGTGGGGGGGATGCCGCACGCGTAACGAACGGCGCTGCTAGAGATGCCTTTAGGTAAGTAAGACTTCCGATGCCATGCGTGACCTAGTGCCTGCCCCCACCCACCCAGCAGTGTGTGTAGGAATCCTGTGTTGTGTTCCTGTGTATGCGGGCGTGTCCAAGTTGGAGCCAGGTGTAGGTGTGGTGCACAGTATGGTGTGGACGCGAGAATAGCTCCGCCGTTCATGGAGGCAACCGATGCGAGTGGACTGGCGTGGAGAGAGCAGCTGAGTCTGCCTCTGCGCTCTAGCCTCGCCCCCCTCCCCTTCAGGCAGTCGCGTGGCATCCTGTATGGGCCGAGTCAGCCGTCCCACCATGAAGTACACAGCGATCGTCAACTTGCTGGCAGCCTCTCTCCGCAAGGCCGACCGCGTCGAATTCATTGGCTGTGAGCCAACAAGCTGCCGAGCCCAATCACTGTGAGAGTCGTGATCCGTGCCCAGTGTCGTGCGAGGGAGCTTTGTTGTAAAATTCTTGTTGGCGCCCGTGGTATGTACCTGTGTTAGTGCCAGTGCGCGCCAGTCCCGTGCCCTGTGTTGTGTGAGGGAATTTTGTTGTGTTGGTTTTCAAAATCTTTCTCTCTGGTGGTGTGCCGTCGTGGCACGTGGGTCGTATCAAGAATACTCACTCACTCACGCAAGCAAATCTCATCACTCCTCCCACGTCTATTTTGCACTACTAAGTTTTCTACTATAATTGCATTGCTTTGCAGCGAGTGTGCATGGAGAGAGAGAGAGAAAGGAAAAGTGTAGAAAGAAGCCTCTGGCCTCTGCTCCGGCCTCGGGGGGGGGGGGGGGGGATCGATAACTCCAAGTACTCGTGTGTCGAAAGCAATAACTTTATGTGGTCTTGGAACGCGAGCTTCAGTGCGCCCTGCCGGCGCTCGCCCGCTGCCCCGCTCCTCACATGCCGATTTCCCTCGAGCGCCCAGGTGGGTGTCCGGAGTCCGGTGCTCTCACAGTGAGTCACACACACCTCACACTCCGGCCCACTTCACTCTCCCTCTGGTTCCCCGGCCGCTGGATAGAATCAAACAGGCTGGAGGATCCTTCCTCTGCTGCCGCAAGTCCATCGCCTGCCCCTCTCTCTTGGACGGGGCGGCCGCGGCGGCGGCCCCGTGCCGTCATCGATCGCTGCCGCTCATGCCCCGACCCGCACAGAGCGGAGGGTCGAGCGCGTCGCCCGCACGCCCAGGTTTGCGAGGCCGCGGTCCGCCAGCTGCTTGACCGCGATTGGCCTCGGCTCGCCGCTCGGGGTCCTCAGGCGGGAGCTCCAATCGACCCACGCCGCATCGTCGCAGCTGAGCGCTGCGAGGGCTTGCGTGCCTCCCACGCGCCTCCACTGCGGAGCCATGTCCGGCGTCGACAGAGCGGCCAGGGCGAGCAGCGCGTCGGCCGCCAGCAGCTTCCACATGAGCTTGGAGAAGGGGCCGTCGGTGAACTGCAGCTGCGGGTCGCACTGCACAAGGCGAACCGAAACGGAGAGGCAGAGGTCATCGGGCGGCTCGGTGCTCCTGGGAACGCTGGCTGCGCACTGCAGCACGGCGACGGCCGCCGCCGCGCACGCGCTGGAGGTGTCCTCACCGACGAGCCTTCGCGCCTGCAACGCGAACTTGGCGAGCTGCGGAATGCCTTGAGCCTCGCAGACGGCCGTGCGAGCCGGCGGGTGCAAGGACGTGCACGCCGCCAGCAACTGCGTCGCAAGCCGCTTGCTCTCGAACGGGTCGTTTGGAAAGAAGGTGACTTGCCGCAGCACGGCGATCAGGTTTTGGACGCCGCCCGCCTCGATGATGCGCTCGGGGACCGCGGGCGTCTTTGCAAGGCTCCGCAGCACCCGCAAGGCCAGGTTGGTGATGGTTGCGGTTGTCGGGCCGGGCCGGACGAGCGCAACGAGCGCCTCAATGCCGCCGTGATGCTGTGCGACGCGCGTACGATTGTCGTCGATGGGTTGCTGCGGTCGGCGCGAGGATCTGTTCACCAGCCGAAGCAGCTCGCCGCACGCCCGGCCGGCAGCTTCTCTGCCGCCGCCAAGCCCGTAAACGAGCCTGTCAGTCGTGTCCCACGCCGTCCTCCAGGCAGTGCACACGCGGGCGGCAGCTGAGCCGCCGTGGACGTGAGAGAGCACGCAGGCGATGAGGTCCGGGTCAAGCAGCACGTCCCTCACCGCCCAGTCGGGCAGCGGCGAGTGGCGGGCGAGGCAGGTGTTTGAGGTTGTGGCGACGCCGTGGTTGGATCGCGACGCCTCGCAGACGAGGCTGACCAGAGCGGCGTGCGAGAGCCGAGAGAGGCGCGCCTCGAGGCGGAGGTCGTCCGGCATGATCGGAACTTTGAACTCGTGCGGCGGCCGCGGAGGCGGAGGTGGGCGGCCGAGGAGGCGGCGGCGGCGGCGGCGAAGCAACGCAGCTCCTGAGCGAGACGGGACGCCGCGCAAGAAAAAACTGGCGACGTCAACAGCAGCTCCTGACCACGGCGCCACAGGCGCCTGTTGATAGGTCCAGGCAATGCATACGCCTAGTTGGGCCTCAGATCGCCCGACCGCGTCCCGGTGCTCTGTTGTCGGATTTGTGACGCCGCCGCACCGCGCAGCGGCCGGGGGCCCTCCGGAGGCCGAGGATGGCCGTGGCGGACAGGGACGAGCTCTGGGAGGTTCAGTGTCAGTGTACATACTGTAGAGACTAACCATGTGCACAATATCTCTCATTCGAGCTAAGCCAGGGGAGGCGATGCCGGGGCCTCATAGCAGCTTGATGGGTTTGCCGCCGTGCGTCCCCGGAGCGGTCCCGGACGGGGGGGCCAGAGGAGGAAACTGGAGGACAACGCCGACACCCGGCTCTGATTCGACTTTTTAACTTCAAACAAAGAGACAGTCGCACGCGGCGCGGCGCGGTGCGTGCCACTGTCAGGAGCGGATCCGTCAGTTAGTCGTGTTCACGCCGGGATCGTGTCGACGTGTCCTCCACAACCTGCCCAGACTTTAGGCCACGGGGGCGTCCAGGGGGGGAGGGGGGAGCTATGACGAGCCGGAGACTGCTCGTCGATCTGTCGGTGGGCAACCTGGCCTCGCTGCGCGCCGTCCTCGTCGGGCGGCGGACGCGCGCGGCACGCTCGAGAGACGGTTGCTTCCCCCAGGAATTAGTCTTCTCTGCTTTGCGGGAACACGCTCGGGCGGCCGGGTGGGGTTGCGGCTGGAGCTAGCATGGCTCGATAGAGCCGATACCCCGTGTTGAGGCGGCGCTCCTTTGGGCGGCTGTTGAATCAGCAGATTCGACCTCATCTTTCCATTACTCTCATCCCAGTGGATGGACGTCCGTACCGTACGTCCCTTTGTGTTCCTCTCCCCGTCCGCCAGCGAGACGCTCAGTCGCTGGCGGCCGCAGTTTTTCTGTGACCCACCCACCTCTCCCTTGTGTTTTGTCTGGGGAGGGGCTTCTCCTGCGGAGTCGTGCGTGCGCAGGGCTCCTCTTTGCTTTCTTCTACTCCCTACTCTATCTCATCTCGTTCCCCGTTCCCGTCCTCTACCAGAGTGCAGAGAACTGACACAACTCTCTCACTCACAGGCGGCTCGACACACCTCAGATGCGGAGATGGCGAGGGAGGCGGCGCGGCGACCCGGCGAGACGGAGGGAGCTTTCAGCATGTTTCACCGTGCACACCGTGCCCCACGGCCACGTGCCAGTGTGCGGGTGGTGTGTCGTGTGTGTGCAAAACAACACAACTGTATTGGAGTACATTGCTTGCGTGGTGAAAGACCAAGCCCCCCCACGGCTTCGTCTTGGCTGCGCTCTATCGGGCACGGCCCTTCACATCACTCGCAGTCCTACCCGGCGCTTCTCGTCATCGGAGAAGTTGTGGCAGTTCCTCGTCACAGAGCACGAGTAGTACTTCTCTCCGGCGTGCGCGCTCGCCCCTTGCCCCCGGCTCGATCGCGTGTGCTCCGTCGCGAGCAACCCACAATTGCCGCACCGCTGCCGCCTCGACCGGCCAGGCGTGCGGTCCGCCGCCACGTCGTCGCGGTCCGCCGCCTTTTTCGCGAACTGCATCAGCTTCTGGTCGCCAGAGAAGGAGGACCCGCGAACTGCCAGCCTGCGCTCGGTCGCCTCCCCTGTCGTCCGCAGCAGCGCCAAGAGCTCCTTCGCCTGGTCGATCCGCGCGACCGGCACTCTCAGCGGCGGCGGCGAGGCCCCGTCGTCGTCGGGCCGCGCGCGCTTCTTGGTGGGCGGCGCGGCGGGCGGCGGCGGCGGCGGCGTGGCGGGCGGCGGCAGTACGGCGGTCGGCGGCGGCGCGGCGGGCGGCGCGAGGTGCGGGTGGTCGGCGGGGTGGTCGTATTCCAACCAGTGAGCCGGGTTCTTGCGGTAGCAGTTCACGCCGTGGAGGCAAGCGGGCTTTCCGGGCGCGCGCTGGTAGGGGCTGTTGCTCGTTGCGGGTGG